GAGGGAAGCCAGGTGTCGAATTTATGAGCCTGGCCAGTGAATTTGTCAGGGTCTGGGAGGGAAGGTTTAGGCTTTGCGGATGTTCTTGACCGGAGTAAGTGAATCTCGTCGCGCTGTCGCTGGACTTCAGCTTGCAACTCAGCGATGGCGGACTGAACTTGAAGGGCATCCATTGTAGAGAAGTCGAAAAAAGAAGAGGTTTCGTCGTGTTGTAAAGTGTAGGGTTCTTGCGCACAAGAAAGTGGTAGAAATCGTGAGAATTGAGACGTAAGATCGTGGACCTGAACTTGGACGTGAACGTGAACTTAGACCTGGGATACTTAGCCTCAACTAAGGGTCTTTTGTAATGTGACAGACGTGCTTCAGGTAGAACTCAGAACAATTAACACTCTATTCTTAGGACAAAAGACGAGGAAAGAAGGAGAGCTCGAGAGAGCTGGGAACTAAATACAGGTCGTGCGCGCTAGCGCCTCGCTAAGCGAGCATGTGACATCCAGCCCTCGTGACCATAACCGTCACAATTTTCCTTTACAAATTCGTCTCTAAAGTATAATATATCTACTACTACTAGTACTATACGTATTTGTGATTAGCATTGGCAGTATGTGCACACGCGTAAAGTGCTTGGAAAGCAGATAATTTTACTCTACCAGGAACGCACGATCGCACCCGGCACTCTCGAGTCTGGAAGGGATAGATAGATAAATAACGTATTACCATCTACTCTTCATCTCCACCTCATCCCAAAGCCTATCAAACATGAGACTAACTATCCATCGCGTTACATCACATCTCACACGTCTCCCCAGCCAGTCAGCCACACAAGTCAAAATCAAAATCCAAGTTCATTCACGCGCCCCTCCCCTGTACCCAAAATCTCGCTTAGCGAGCAAGTACCCACTTCACAACCACGACCGGCGCCCCCTACCCCCCAAAACATATCTTATAAAAGATTTAATATATTTTAAAAACACACACACACACAAAAATAAAAGGAAGCAGGAATCTTTTCGTGGATGTTCTCCCAGGTCGGGCCTACTACCGCTTCATCTTGACGTAAGATGAAATCTTATATGATAACGCCCTTGCTACTACTTTATTACTCTGCTTCGAAGGTCGGAATGTCTTATTTAAGAATTTCAATATATATTTAGTTAAAGTAGCTTATAGTAAATAGGAAAAGTAGCGGGCCCGTGTACACTCCTGCAAAAGAGCCATATACAACACCTGTGTAGCTTAGTACAAAAGTACCGTAAAAATATACCAGAAATGTGAGTATAAGAAGAATCAATTCATTAACATATGATATGGATTCTAAAGAATTTTGATTTCGCGTTACTATGAAATATTACCGTATGTTTAGGCGAAGATACTTCGTTTACACTTAGGTCCCGCTGCTTTCTCCGTCCAGGGGGGTAGGTGTGTGGGTAGGGGCGGCTTCTACGGGTTAGTATGGATTATAGTATTGGATAGGTGTGGTGGGTGTGGATTATTAGATGGGTGTAGATATTGTTATAAGGTAAGGTTAATGGGTAATTACGCACTAGAGTATGGTGATTTTGAGGAGAGGATTTATTATATTGTCTAAGGTGAGGGTTGTTTGCTAGATAGTAGATCCAAGTCCTATCTTCAAATTGCTATATATATATTAATAACTATCCCCTCTAGTATATATACTATTCCCATCCCTATCCTATCCTCCATCCTCTATCCTCCTATCTACACTTCCTAATTCACATTTCCTATATCTTAACCCTAACCTATAGTACTAGGCGGAAAGTCTAAGCTATTTGCCCTTTTTACACTTAAACTCGGTATAATTACATATAAGTTAGATAAAACATGAAAGACTATTTATAATTATAAAGTCCTTTATAAAATCTCTTTATTTTAACGTTTCCTTCCTTTCTATCTCTTCCGATTTTATTAGATAATATATAGTATTAAGTAAATTAGGTCTAAAGTAGTTTATTTTTATAAATTACGTATTCTATACTAAATTCAGCCTAATTTCGGTACTAAAATATATAACTTAAGAACATTAGAATATATACTAATAAAGCCTTGCTTTATAACTTAATATACCTATGTAGGAGTACTAGTAATATACTTAACTAAGAGTATAGAAGAGGTATAAAGCTTTTATTAATAAAAGGTAATGTTATAGGCTATTAAAAACTAGGTAAATCGTTATATTTAGGTATTCTTCTGTAACGAATACTCAAACTGGCTAACTAAACTTGGCTGGGTGTTCGCTGGTTGGTATGCTATGATAAGAAGAAGACTATCGGGTTGTTCACTTGGAAGTGAACTCGTTACTTGTATCAAAGATGTCAAACTAATATGATAAGATTGATAACTAAGTTGAGCACGAAGCTCCTATCTAAATGGCAGACGTGCCAGTCTTATATAGAACCTTCTTGCTCGTTGATCATTATGATCACCCTGATCCCACTGATCCAGCTCAGCGTTGCTCAGTTGATCACCAATGATCAATGACGGTCACATGACTTCTATCAGATGAAATCCCTGGATCGCTTAGCTAGCCTAAGCATCCCTATTTACTATAAGAGTGTGTTGATGGTGCTTAACCTGTCAGGATGCCGCCTGGTATTTACTTATCACATGCCAACACGTGATTCGTGATACTAAGCTACTTCTACCTATAAAATTACCCTTACTATAGAATATACCATATCTATTAGGGTCTAGGCTATTAAAGATATACTTAATAAGCTAGATAGTTTACTTATTAAATATAAAATATAGAGTTATATAATTCTAACTTAACTTATATAAGATTCTAGGTTTAAGAAGATAAGTTATATATTTTATAGAATTATATTACTAGATTAGAAGAGTTATAGAGATAGTATAGATATAATTAGGATAATAGTTAGGTAGTATAAAAGTATTAAGACTAACTTTATTTTAGGTGTATAGTTAAATATACTATCTACTACTACTTAGATAAGAGTTAAATAAGAATAGTAGTATTTATAAGGAGGGTTTATACTTAATATTATAACAACTTTAGTGTGACGAAACCGGTATTTAACTAACTAAAGGTATCGAGTTCGACTGTTGGTATGCGGGAAAGAAGACAACTATCAGGTCGTGTGTTTACTCAGAGGTAAACTCGTCACTTGTACAAAGTAGTCAAGACAGCAAAGTGTCACGAATCACGTGCTAAAGGGCATGCCCCGCGTCATGTGATGAGTTAGTCCAGACGGCGTTCCGACAGGACAGGCACATCAGGATAGTTATAGCAAATAGGGATGCTTAGAGTAGCTAAGCGATCCAAGGATTTCACATGTAGAGGGTCACGTGATATATACAGGGCGACATGGTCGTTGTCGACTTTGTGACTTAAGGAGAACGAAGGATCTATATAAGACTGGCACGTCTGCCATTAGATAGGAGCTTCGTGCTCAACTTAGTTATCAATCTTATCATATTAGTTTGACATCTTTGATACAAGTAACGAGTTCACTTCCAAGTGAACAACCCGATAGTCTTCTTCTTATCATAGCATACCAACCAGCGAACACCCAGCCAAGTTTAGTTAGCCAGTTTGAGTATTCGTTACACAAAGGTATTGAATGCAATGTAAACTAAGTTGAGCACGAAGCTCCTATCAAAAGGCAGAAGTGCCAGTCTTATATAGGACTTTTGCTGCTCTATCCTAACTGTTGGATCGCCGGGGTCGCTTGTCTACCGAGTCGACCCAGACGACTGGATCGCTCGTCGCTCCAGGCGACCCAACTTGTCACGTGATACTAACCAAAGGAAATCCCTGGATCGCTTAGCTAGCCCAAGCGATCCCATTTGCTATAAGAGCGCTCAATAGTGCTCGACCTGTCAGGACGCCGCCTGGTCTTCACTTCTCACGTGTTGACACGTGATTCGTGACATTTAGGCTATATTTTCATAAAAGGTATTTAGATATAATTATAGTAATTAATATGAATATTATTCTTAGTATTATTAGAAGGATTTAGATTAACCTGGAAGCTAATAGTCCTAGGAAGTACTATTTTATAGTTAGAGGATAAGATGTAGAAGAGAAGAAGTTGTTTTCTCTTAAGAGCTAGGAGTAATATATAGGAGCGTACTTTCTTTATAAGTATTTTTTTTATAAGTATATTCTTTATAATAATTAAAGGTTTTTTTAATATCTAGTTCCTTTATTATACTTACTTTATTTAGGTATAATAATTTATTATAAGGGAATAGGAATTTAAGGGATAATTAGATATAAAATTATTACTAATCCTTACTTAGTAGGGGATAATAAAGTATAAAGGGCGAAAAGTAGAGAAACCTATTTCATATTACTTAAATCTCCACTTTTAACTACCTAATTAGGCCTATATTAGGAATTTCTATAAGTTATAGTATTAGGAATGTCCTAACACTAAGTTCCTAGAGGGAAACACCCTAAACATCCCTAAACCTTATAATCTACTACCTCCTATATATACCTACACACCCCTCTACCTCCCCCTAAACTAAAACTAAAACCAAAACTAAAAAACCTTTACCTTTACCTCTACCTCCTTCCCCCCCCTTGCCCC